TGGAGACGGTCTCCAGCAGACCAGGGGCACCGGAGCAGCTTACGAACGGGGCTTTCTCGCCCCGACCTCCGGGGCGAGAAAGCCCTGTTCGTAAGTGCGGATCCGACGTAAGTCGGGGACTGCCTGTATACAAATCCATGGTACTCCCACATCTTGAGTACTGCGTACAGATGTGGGTGCCTCATCTGAAAAAAGATATACAATAAAACTCCTGTTGTCCAGCATCCAGTGGTCCGGCACTCCTGATAGTCCGGCACCAACTGGAACCCAGAAGTGTTCCGGCCAGCCGGACAATTGGAGCTGCTGTGAGCCCCATGAGCGCTCGCAGCTGGTAAAGGGAAGGGGGAGGGGATTATACCCCTGTGACAGGTCTGCCGAGACACGCACTGCGTCCAGGTGGGGGGTGGGTGGGGAATGGCACAGTGAGGGGCAAACCCTCCACCGTTTTGCAGGAAGGCGGGGGAAGCCCCACACCGCCGCTGAGAGCTCCCACCCCCCAGACTGCAGTAGTTATCACTGAGCAGGGGGGTGAGGGGTGGTTCATCCCTCACCACACCGTCCCCCATCCATCCCCAGATGCAGTGCACGTCCCCGCAGACCTGTCAAAGTCCCCCACCAGAGTACCTCCCGATACTCCAGCATATCCGATAATCCGGCACCACCTAGGTCCCAAAGGTGCCAGATTATCGGAAGTCTACTGTATTGTGTAGGGGTACGCTTCAAATATAATTACACTGAGCCTGATATTAAACAAAAGTATTTTTATGAAGTACAAACAGTAAGATTTAAGTGGTTGCAAGTGAAAACAAACTGACCAAAGTAAGTTACTAAGTTAAAATGAAACCAACCCCCCGGATGCGGTGCAGGTCCCGGCAGACCTGTCACAGCCCCCTGCCAGAGTACCTCCCGATACTCCGGCATATCTGATAATCCAGCACCACACAGATCCCAAAGGTGCTGGAGTATCGGAAGTCTACTGTACTAGCATTAGAAAAAGTTCAGAAAAGGGCAACCAAAATGATGAGGGGTTTGGAACAGGTATCCTATGAAGAGAGATTAAAAAGACTGGGACTTTTCAGCTTAGAAAAGAAGAGATACTAAGGGGGGATATGACAGAGGTCTATAAAACCATGAGTGGTGTGGGGAAAGTGACTAAGGAAAAGTTATTTACTTGTTCCCATAATATAAGAACTAGGGGACACCAAATGAAATTAAGCGGCAGCAGGTTTAAAACAAATAAAAGGACGTTCTTCTTCACACCGCGCACAGTCAACCTGTGGAACTCCTTGTCCGAGGCAGTTGTGAAGGCCAGGACTATAACAGGGTTTGAAAAAGAGCTAGATAAATTCATGGAGGTGAGGTCCATTAATGGCCATTAGCCAGGATGGGTGAGGAATGGTGTTCCTAGCCTCTGTGTGTCAGAGGGTAGAGATGGGTGGCAGGAGAGAGATCGCTTGATTATTACCTGTTGGGTTCACTCCCTCTGGGGCAGTTGGCATTGGCCTCTGTCGACAGACAGGATACTGGGCTGGATGGACCTTTGGTCTGACCCAGTATGGCCGTTCTGATGTTCTTATAATGCCATCTATGTTTTTTGTTAGTCTCTAAAGTGCTGCAGGACTAGTCATTAAGCTTTTTCTAGAAATGTTCATCTTCTTACTCTGACTTCCTGCAGTTTTATTGTGACCCATTTACCATATTTAATACATTATTAAAAACAAAATATTAAGTCTGTTCATGTGACTTCACTGTTGCCTCCATTGGTGCTTGACACAAATGGCTAGCTCAGAGCCAGCGGAGAGCAGGCAGCAGTTGTTCCTGTGAAGTCTTTTACACACAAGTAAAAACCAATATTGTGCTACTTCAGGAAATTGGAACAGAGCACAGTTTGTGATGCTACGTCCCTGTTCCAGCCATGTCCTCCTCGCTGAGCCAGTTCTGCACCCTGCAGGGAGTCATTATGCTTTAACAGTGCTGTGGTGCTACAGAGAAGATGAGGAAATATTCCCAACTCCTGAGTCCCCAGTGTCTCCATGGGTTTGGGTCTCTGGCTGCCAGGCTGAGCTGGGCCCTGCCTGGACTGTGGCTCCAGGTAGATGCTGGGCAGGGTTTTCTAGCCTCAGTCTCTAGACTGAGCAGGCTGTGAGGAGGGATGAGAGGCTGCTCTTGGCTGGAGTCTTGCTGCCTAAGGAGTGAGAGCTGTGGCAAGATTTAGAGCAGAGGTGGGGAAACTTTTTTGGGTCATGGGCTATTGACCCCCAGGGAAGTAGACTTGGTGTGCTCCAGCCCCACCGTGGTATAGCAGCAGGGCTGGAGTGCCAGCATAAGCTCCCCAATTCTAGGGAGGAGCCCTGAACCTCAGGGGCCAGATCCAGACAAGCCGGGGGCTGCAGATTCCCCACAGCTGGCAGCCTGCATACTAAGGAGCAGGTTGTGCAGTGTGTAGCACCAGCGTAATACTCTGGGACAGGCTTTGCTAGGTGCTGGCTGTAAGATGGGAGCAGGGTCAGGGAGGGTGCAGGAAATAGGGGCCCAGTGGTTATGGGGGGCAGCAGTCATGAGCTGAACCCACATGTTAGCTTGTGACACCCCCATTCATCTCTTCACCCATCCATGTGTCCCGCTATCTGTACACCTCTAACTATACACCTCTATATACACCTCTAACTATCTGTATACCTACGCCCATCTCCATATGTGTCTCTGTCTTGATGGCCATGCAGTGTCTAGCACAATGAAGCCACAACCCTGAATGAGGCTTTTGGAGGCTGCAGTAAAGGAGTGGGAGTGTGGATCCAGGCAGCTCCAGTTCTCACTCCACTTCCTCTGAGCCCAACTGGATTTCATGCTTGTTAGTCCTAGAGTTCGTGGCCTCATAGACACCTGAGTGGCCACTCACACGGTGACTCAGTTACAATAATAATCTTCTGCAACTCTGTCTGAAAATTGGGGGGGAAGGAGCAGCCCCCTGAGTATGGCAGGCCATATACATCTTTCCCAGTATGGCAGAGATCATGCCCATAGGCAGATAATACCTGCTCAGGCCATGGGACACTGGGATGGGGGGTGGGCAGGGGACAAGGCTACATGCCTCTGAGCATGACAGGCGATGTGGACCCTCTCATGCGTAACATGGGGCACATGGCTTCTTGAGAGCATCTGGATCCTACTTGCAGCGTGGGAAACCATGGGGTCACTATCCAGCATGTGGCTCTGCTGAAGGCCCTCCACATCATCTCCAGCATGTCTACTTTTTCCTCCTTGGATCGCTGCAAGAGGAGGAGGCTCTGTTACCAAGTGATGGGATGTATACTGACTTAAGAGCTTGGAGGAGGGATGAGAAACCTACATCTGGGCTGTAAATTCTAGAGGAATTGATTATAGGATAGGCACACCCATTCAGGGGTCAGATCGATCATCCAGCTAGTCCAGTATCATTGTGTATGATAGTGGCCAGTGCTGGATGCTGCTGGCAGTTGAAGGTTTAGCAACACCCCAAAGCATAAGGGTGGTTCCTGACCATCTTGGCTGAGAGCTACTGGCAGAGTGCTATCCTCCATGCTGTTAATACCTAGATTAGCTATGTGAAATACAGTACTTCCTTATGTTTGCTTTTAAACCACTGGTCTATTAAAAGCAACAAAAATGATTAAAGGGCTAAAAAAATTGACCTATTAGTGAAGATTGAAAGAACTGGGTTTGTTTTATCTAAAAAAGAGACAAACAGCTTTCAAGAATCTAAAAGGTTGTTCCCTAAGACTGGAAGATAGCTAATGTGACACCAATCTTTAAAAAGGACTCTAGAGGTGATCCTGGCAATTAAGGATGTTAGAAAGTCTAACATCAGTACTGAGCAAATTAGTTGAAACTATAGTAAAGAACAGAATTGTCAGATATATAGATGAACACAATTTGTTGGGGAAACATGGCTTCTAAAAATGGAAATCATGCCCTACTAACCTACTAGAGTTGTTTGAGGGCATCAGTAAGCGTGTGGACAAGTGGGATCCAGTGGATATATACTTAGATTTCCAGAAAGCCTTTGACAAGGTCCCTCGCCAAAGGCTCTTAAGTAAGCTATTGTGCGATAAGAGGGAAGGTCCTGTCATGACCTTCTAAGTGGTTAAAAGATAGGAAACAAAGGATAGGAATAAATGGTCAGTTTTCAGAATGTAAAGAGTTAACTAGTACATGAGTTTGCACTGGGACCAACCCTATTTAACATATTCATAAATGATCTGGAAAATGGGATAAACAGTGAGGTGGCAGATGATACAAACCAAAGCGGACTGTGAAGAGCTTCAAAAGGATCTCACCAAATTAGGTGACTGGTCAACAAAATGGAAAATGAATGTTAATTTTGATAACTGCAAAGTAATGCATATTGGAAAACATATTCCCAGATTCTCTGGTCTCCCCCGGACAAGGCACAGAGATGGGGTAATCCCCTCCCACTCCTGATGAGCAGTGCAGACACTGAACCACTTCCGTGCTAGGAGGATGCATTTTTGGGGCACAGCACCCAGGAAACCAACCCCCAAAAGGGATCAGACCCCCAAATAAATCTTTCAAAGTTTTGCACAAAAAAAGCTCATGTGGATGTTCACTCTCTTTATCAGTGAAAGCAAGAATATGCACACTGATTGCTTCCCCCTCCCCAAAAGTAACAGTTATTTACACTGCACTTGATAGTAGACAAAAATAACTTCATTAAGTACGAACAGTAGGATTTAAGCAGTTGCAAGTGAAAACAGACAGATCAAAGTAAGTTACAGAATTAAAACAAAAAGACCCACATAGCTAGTTCTCATACACCAACGCTTATTACAAACTCTCCCTAAAACCTGCTCTTTCTTCAGGCATGCTTTCAAGTCATAGCTGATCTTTTTCTCTGACTTGGGTCTCCAGCTCTCCTCTTGGGTGTGTGTCACTCACCAAAGACAAAAAGTACCGATAGCTTCCCATTGTTTTTATAGATTATCCCTGGGTGGGAATCTTTTGTTCTCTACACCCACCTTCCATGGAAAATTACCTGGTCAAGCTGATATCCCATTATCAGGTGATATGGTCATATGTCTTTCTAGGACTGCCACTGCTTAGATTTAAAGGACGAACAAGGTTGTTCTTATGCTGTTAAGTTGATGACCCAGTCATTAAGGCTGGGGGCGGGCCATTAAGGGCTTACATTTGCACATTTAAAACCATAAACCATCTCATACCTCATAGTTCTAAATTTACATATAATAATGATACATTCACCCATGTATAAACAGATCCAGCAGATTGTTGCATTAAAATGGATAGGTTCTATGAGGTATTTTATCCAAAGCATCTTCAAGGTAGGCCTATTTGTATTTATAAGCCAGTTTCATAAAGTAAGGAGGGGAACCATCACAGGGAATCTCAAGATAGGGGGCTGTGTGAATGGGAGTGCAGGAGTCAGGGTAGGAGTTGGGGGGGTCTCAAAGCAGAGAGTTGCATTGGGGGGGGAGGCGGAGAGCAGGAGGCTGGGTGTGTGTGTGTATGGGACGATGTGAGGCTGGGGCAGCCCACTGCTGGGTTATCTTACCTGGCTGGTGGACGGGTCCCTGCCCTGATACTCCTGTTTGCTGCTTCTGCCACAAGGGAGCTAGGGGTTGGCTGTTTGTGGAATCAGCGGCAGTGCAAGAGACCCACTAGCCTGCTGCTCCCTTTCCCTGGCTTCTTCCCAGGGCCACTGGCAGCGTGCGTGCCACAGACTGCATGTGCACTTCCCAGTGTCCAGCAAGAGAGGGGCAGCAGGATAGGTGCAGATGCACCAGGAGCTCAGCTGGGGTGACTCACCTCCCCTACAGTGTGCACCCAGCTGGCCTCTTTCACACCTGCCTGCCTCACCTGGCTGCACAAGCAGGACCACCAGTGCCAGTCTGCAGCAGGAGTTCCAAGAGCGCAGCAGGGAGAGCACGCTGCAAGCCACACTGTGAGCTTCTCCCTGCTACGGAGTTCCCCAGCCAGCTCTTGCTGGAGCGCTGCACCAGGGCACACTTCCTTTCTTTCATCTCTTGTCTCCCCCAGCTCCAGCCCTGCTGCTGGCCTGCCAAGATGGCTATCCCCAGCCTCCTGAGACCAGTGGAGATGCTGCTGCCATGCCCAACCAGTGTGAGAACTGCTGATCTGCTTAGTCTGTCTGCTCCCAGCCCTGCTGTTGGCCTCCTCAGCCCCCAGTGGCCAGCTAAGAAGCTGTGCCTTGTCCAGGTTGTCTACTCGCAGCCCCTGCCCCTCTTCTGACCTCCCTCACCTCAGCCTCTGCCTGGATGAAGTGTGCCCTACCTTTCTACTCCCCTCCCCAGCCCCAGCTCCCTGCAGCTAGCTGAGAAGCTGCTGGCCTGCCCAAGCTGTCTCCCCCCACATCTCCAGTCCTGCTATTGGCCTGCCCAAGATGTCTCCTCCCACCCCCCAGTCCAGTCCAGTTCTCCTGTCTTCAGCTGAGAAGCTGCCCCAGCTCCAGCTGTGCTGCTGGCCTGTCCAGGGTGTCTGCCCCCAGCCTCCAGTGCCAAACTGAGAAGCAGTAGGGCTGTCCTGCCAGCTCTTAAATTATTTTCCTGTGAGAGAAGCACAATAACATAGCAGCAGATGAACTGTGAATACAAGGCAGAAGGAACGGTTCACTGGGAAACACAAATCTCAGGGATGCTAAATCATCGTTTTGAGATTAAGGAGGTGAAGTTTTTATGCCCTTCAACCACAAATCCTTCCCTATATCAACTTGAAACCAGCCCAGTACTGTAACAAAGCAGTGGAAGTGGGCGTAAGTGAACAGGGATTCAACATACATATCCCAAAATGTCTGCATCAGATGTGTATAGAGAATCAGTGTCAAGCCCACAGAATAAAAGCAGCAAGTTTGTATGGATGTCCACAATCATAACAGGTACTAGGAGAAAAATCCGTGGGTATCTGACAGTGGCCGAGACATGTTCTGGAATGCCCACTGCAGGATCCCATCAAAGGAGCTCTGGAAGACGAGAGAGGCAGGAAAAGGGTAAATACGTATGTTTTCTGGGATCCTTCAGAGAAGGGGCTGGAGGTGTGGGTGGGGAGGGGGGAGTTGCATAGTTAGGACAGGGGTTTGGGCAGGACAGGACAAAATATGGCCCGTGGGCCTATGGATGCAGTGGGGAGACCCTTCCTGCCCCCTGCACTGCTGAGAAAAGTGGCTGCTGCCAGGCCTTGTTTGAACAGCAGTGATCCTGGGGGAGGGGAAAGAGGCTTTAGGTGTTGCCTCCACCCCCAGTACAATCCCGTTGGCTGGTTTCTTGCCAATGGAAGCTACTTGTTGTCAACAGACATTTTGCGAAGCACCTTCCCTCTCCCCTGAGGCTTGTAGCTATTCACAGACCACGTGGCCCCTGCATCCAGTGCAGGGGCAGGGCAGACCGGTAGTTTGCCTGAGAAGGCTGCTGGCTGTGAGTCAAGCAGGTAAGTTCCCTGGCCAGAGCCTGGTGGGAACTGGGACAAATGTAACCCAATTGGGGCAGTAGGTGGCAGGTGTGGAGGTAAGCTTCCCACTGCTGTTCTGGCAGCAAGGCCTCTACTGCAGCCAGCACTGGGGATCTGCCCCCCAGCCAGCCTGCTCCCTGCTGCAGCCAGCCCCAGGGAGCCGCCACCCAGGCAGCATGGCCCCCACTAGCACTTGCACCCCCAACATTCCCAGCCCCCCTTTTTTGAGCCCTCCTTACTCCTAAACCATGACTCCTGCACTCTCACACCCCAACCCCCTGTCTTGACTACTGCAAATCACACTCCCAGCGCCCTGCCCGAGCCTCTCCTCATCCCCCAACCTTGACTGCAGCACCCCCACACACTCCCAGCCCCCTGCCCTGAGCCCCCCACATCACAAACCCAGGGGTGGGCAATAATTTTGATCGGCAGCCACTCCAAGAATTTGGAAAGTGGTCAAAGGCCGCACTCTTCCATGATATTAATGGAGGGGGTGCAGGGACTGGGTGGAGGTTGAGTGCAGAAGGGAGCTTGCAGTAAGGGATTGGGGTGCAGGATCTGAAAGGGAGTTTGGGTGAAGACGTCAGTTGTGACCTGGAGCAGGGGACTGGGATGCAGGGGTTTGGGTAGGAGTGCTTTATGACCTGGGACAGAGGACTGGGATGCAGAATCTGGGATGGGATATGGGGGCTGGGCTTTTGGGTTGTGACCTAGAGCAGGGGATTGGGGTGCAGGATCTAGGAGGGGATATGGGTACTGAGGGTTTGGGTTATGTTATGTAAAATATTTGAAGTGGCCCCGGGCTGCCCGGAAGGGGCGGGGCCAGGATGCTTCTGGGCTTCCCCATCAACAGACCATGATTAGTCTGGCAGTGGGGGAGCCTCTTTGCCCCCCTTCCCACTAAGCACCCATGCCCCTGGCACGGCAGGAAGAGGCTTCGCACGCTCCCCCACCCCCACGCCAGTTAGGGCCTGGGGGTGGGGGAAGCGCACGAAGTTTCCTCCATCCTGCCAGGAACACGTGACACTTTGCAGTGCCGCGCGCTCCTGGCAGGGCGGGAAGAGACTTCACGCGTTCCCCCTCCCCCTAGCCCTGATTGGCCTGCGGGCGGGAAGAGCACGCGAAGTTTCTTCCGCTCTACCCCTGCCTTGCAAGGTGCGTGAGGCACTTCAAAGTGCCACATGCTCAGCGCAGGGCAGGGGCAGAGCGGAGGAAGCTTTGTGCACTCCCCCACCCCCAGGCCGGTCAGGGCTTGGGGTCGGGGGAGCAGGTAAAGTCTCCTCCCGCCCTGCCAGAAGCGTGTGGCACTTCGAAGTGCTACGTGCTCCTGGCAGGATGGAGGAAACTTTGTGCGCTTCCCCCACCCCCGGATCCTAGGAGGCCCTTTTGCCCATCCCTGAGCTAAGGTCTTCGTATGTCTGAATTTGGCCCCAGCTGCCTTTAAGCCTGGATTGGGTGGGGAGCCTTTGCAAACAGAGGTAAGCAGAGTGCCTGTGAATTCCAGGAGCTGTAGGAACTGCTCTGTTCAGATTGTGGACTATTGACTTGCATAACATAAAATCAGAGACATGAGAAGATGAAATAGATTGTTACCTCACCAAGGAGAGAGTCCAGCTCCTCTTTATTCAGGATTGGGTCATTCCCAAGAGACTCTTCCACCACCTGCAATCCAGAACATGGCCAGACCACTCAGTTTCCCAATATGAACATGAGATGTTAAACACAATGGGCCTGAGTCTCTCCCCAGTTACACTGGTTTATGCTGGAGTAATAAGTCTGCTGTAGCCAAGAGGAGAATCCATTCCAGTCAAGCTTATCTGTCACTGAGGGTAAAGAATTTGGTTGCTTCATGAAGTTTGTTTAGCAGACAGCTCGGCAGTTAGGAAAAGGTGATGCTAGACTCAGCAGAACCTAAGCTGAAGCAGGGCTGTTACGCAGAAGATTGTGCTTTCATACTTGGTTTAGCATTGTGGTTTTTTCTGGTCCTGTTGACTGAAGTTCTTGGAGTGAATACTGACTAGGCAATTGGCTGTCTTCTCTGTAATCACTGGAGTAGCTAGTAAGTGTGGCGATGTCTACAAAGTGAAGTCCTGTACTATGTGCTGCTGCTTTTAAAAAGGGCTTTTGAAAATTTCACCTCCAGTCTATATCAGGTGATATGGGGCTTACTTTAACCAGAAGGACTTGGAACTGTGTACTAAGTTCAGTGGATCTCTGAATCATGTTACTCTCATAATACATGTTTTACACTATAGCCCTAGACATGTCTGTTTTTTTACAAAAGATGTGGATCATCTAAGAAGGCTGGTCTTGTGATTTTAAAGTAGTGTGACCTTGATTCTGCCCCTCACCCTCAATCTGGTGACACTTGAGTAGAGAACAGCTTTTTTTGCCTCCGTTTGATCATCTGTAAAAGGGGGGGGAGCTCCTCATGAGTATGTCTGATTGTACCGTGCTTTGAGAGTCTTTGATGGAAGATGATACGGAAGGGCAAAACATATGCTGGAAGAAATTCCTTTCACTGAAACTCACATTGCTAAGTATCTCTTAAGCACTTTGAACTTCCTCACGTACTGCAAATAAGCCTTGGGTTGTACTGACCTTCACTGCTCTTAGAGTAGGATTATCTGAAGCCTCGGTTCCCTCCACACCACTGGTTTCAGAGCTGTCAGAGCAGGACTTGCATAGCAAGATTTCACTGGAACAGAAGATAAAGATTATGGCTGCTAGTGAAAGCATTGCTGTGATGGTGCCTCCTCCCCATGTCTTAGGAGAATTGGCTAATGAATATGCATAAATTGAAGCTGCTTTATGCAATAGTCATGTAACACATCAATTTTACAGTTAAAATGGGCTGAATCTGCACATCCTATTTCTGTGCATGTATCATCCTTGTATGTGAAGTTAGAAATATGAAGTGTGACTGTTTATAGATCTAAATGTGTAAACGAGGACCATTATTGGGTCTTCAGATATTAATGATTTAGTAGTCAAATCAATAACTTGTGAATGGCCTTGTTTGTCCTGTGAACTCAGGGAGTGGTTGGTCCTGAAAAGATGTGACCAGGCTACCTAGTACTGGACTTCATCTTGGTACTAGTAATTTTCCATGGGGATAGGCGATGCAAAACAAAGCATTCCCACCCCGGGGGAAAGTCTGATTGCTTCCCATTACTTGGCCTCTGTCTTCAGCAGACTTTTGAAATCCTCCCCCCAAGAGGATACAAAAGAACTTCGAAGAAGGTTATGGATTCAAGTCAGGGCAAAGGATCCACTCTGATTTGAAGCTTATACCTGAAATAAGAACAGTTGATTAGGGTAAGAGATTAGAATAACTATGTGTTTTCTATTCATTTTAATTTAGTAACTTACTTTGACCTGACAATTTTCACTTGCAACCACTTAAATCCTACTTTTTATACTTAATAAAACACTTTTGTTCATTATTGAGCTCAGTGTAAATAATTGTTACCTGGGTGGAGCAACCACTGTGCATCTCTCTTTCGTTGATAAGGAGGGCTGACCTAACCTTATCAGCTTTCCCTGTGTAAAAGTTTTACACGGGGTAATATGGATTGGTAGGGAGGTAGTGTTGGTCCCATTTGGGGGTTGGTTTCCTGGGTGCCAAGGCCTTAGAACTGAGTCCTCCCAGAGCTGAAATGGTTCACTGTCTGCATTGCTCTGCGCGGGGGGGGGACCCCAACTCTGTGCCCTGACTAAGGGAAACCTGAGGATCTGGCCCGGCAGAACAGGGTGGTGGGGAGCCCCAGAAAGCAAGAAGGCAGGCATCGGTGGCATAATCTGCACACCGAGGAGCAATCCCCAGGGGGCATCTGGAATCGCACCCTTTCACAATCACCCTCAGTCTGGAAAACTCAAGAAGAGCCTTTGTAGTTGTTGGTCTGTAGGATTAGAAAAGGGAAGGGAAGCAGAAGGATTTCAGACAATGTAGAAAATGTCATTGCCATCTTTGGTAGCAAGCCAGTAGCTCTCAACTACTGGCCAGACCCCATAGTGGATCAGAATGCGTGTGCGTCGGTGCTGGAATATAGAACACGAGAGTAAATACCAGAGAACTGGGGAGCTACCCCAAATGTAACAGTCACAGATACTTTGATCTAACTGGAAAGCAGCAGTGTCCAGTGAACTTAACGCCCATCCCTTGACAAATAATGAAATCAGGCACAGTGTGAGAGAAAGCAATGCCTCTGCTCATGACCTCACCTGAGCCGCTCTGCCTGAGCAGGGAAGTGGCAGTGGGAGTGAAAGGCTTTGAAGCACTGGGCGCAGTAGATCATGTCTCCTTCTCCCCTGCAGACTCCACATCTCTCACCAACTGGGAGTTTCTATGGACAGGAACAATGGAGGATTTGAATTTTATTCTCAGCCCCACATTCCGGCTCAGTCGTGAGACCTGCTGGGTCTCGGGTTTTGTGCTCTGCCCATCCTTCCCAGCTCATTGTTTGATGTACAGGCCGTCCTCGCTATAAGTCCAAGATATGTTCCAAAAAACTTGGACTTACAGCGAAACAACTTCAAGTGGGGGATTTTTTCCCAGGGCTGACTTCCATTTAAGCAAATTGGGGGGAGTGTTTTACACGACTTATAGCAGGAAATGGGAGGACTTATAACAAATCAGTTCCTACAAATGTCAATGACTTTGGTGTGGAATGGATGTATACTGGGGTGACTTAGAGTGGGGACACCCTGTAGTGTATTCTCTGCCATTAGCCCAGACCTTTCTCCCCCCGCTCTTCATAGGGCATGGTACGTGCTCTACTCTCCAGAACGCATGCACTGACTCCATACCTGCTGCTCTGAGTGCTGGGGTAGAAACTTCATGGAGTATTTTGGGGTACATTTGAGCTGCTAGGGTAAGATGAACATGCCTACAGCCAGCTCAGATGAGCTTAATATACTCTCTGGATTAGGAATGTTAAAATTAGGTTAATTTACTAATCAAGTAGTTAATAGAATTTTTATCGACAACTCGATTAGTTGATGGGGTAGGCAGTCTTGCTTGTGCCAGGTCCGGGAAGACTCCTGCACTGTGGCTTTGCAATTTAAAAGGCAGTAGGAGCCAGGGGGAAGGCTTCCTGGTTCCTACTGACTTTTAAATTGCAGGGCTGCAGCAGCCCCTGTCCGTGGGTGACCGGGGGGAAGCTTGTCCACCCTGCGACCAGGGGCTGCTGCTGGAGCATCCTCTATCCATGGTCAGCCTGGGCCACCATGACCAGGGGCTGCTTTGTGGCAGCCTCCCCTCGCCCCTCCCCTGTGCTGCTGCCTCTGATAGATGGGGTGGGGAGGACAGGCGGCGCTGCAGAGATGGTGCTGGGGGAACCGGCTTTTTTAACCTGCTGAAACAGAGGCAGCAAGTAGGGTTACCAGATGGCTTAAAAAAAACTACCAGACACACTTGATGTCAGATGGGGTGGAGAGGGACTGGCCGGGAGGGCAGCGGGACTGTCTGGGAGGAGGTCGGGGGGAGCGGGGCTTGCTGGGGGAGGTTGCAGGGGTGGGGAACCAGCCGGCGGGAAGCAGGACTGGCTAGGAGGGGGTCGGGTGGAGCGGGGCTGGCTGGGGGCAGCGCAGGGAGAGAATCGGCCAGCGGGGAGCAGGGCTGGCCTGGGCGCACGCAGATCCCGGGGTGCTGCCTGTCCTGTGCACAGTCCCAGCACGAGCGATTCCACCCCCTCCTCTCTACTGCGTAGTTGCGCACTGCCTGGCTGGTAGACATGCTTGCACTGCATGAGCGTGCCTACCAGCCAGGCAGTATGCAACTACGTACGGATACTCATAATAATAAAACTTACCTAACTAGAAAATACTGGACATTTATATGTCCTGTATTTTCTCAATTTATTTCCTGAACCGAAACCTTAAATACCAGGCTATCCGGTTCAAAACTGGACTCCTGGCAACCCTAGTAGCAAGGGGTGGAGGGAGGAATGCGAGTAGTTGACTCAACTAACCAATAAGCCTAGACTTATCGGTTAGTCGACTACTTGCTTGCATCCCTACTCTGAATCTGAATTCTGTGTACACGTGGGTTTTAAAGGCCCCATAGAGTAAATCACGTGGAAAGCAGAGTCACAAACCAGCTGTCTCTCTGGGCCCAAATTCGGCAATGGCTGGAGGGTTGAGATTGGTGTTACCACTGGCATTGGAGAGGCAGAAGGTGCAGGGAGCAGAGGTTGCTTGAAGGTAAATGAGGCATCAGAGCCTGGTTTGGGTTCTTTGATAAGAATTCTTTCCCCATCTCCAGTTGCCCTTTGTCCATACAGACCCTTCTAGGCACAAACAAAAGTGTAGTTAGTTAGTGCCTATGGCAGAGGTATAGCCAGAAGGGCCGACTTGGGTGGACCCCAACTTCAGATTGGTGGCAAGAATGGAGGAGGTAGTGTAACAGGAGGGATAGGGAACGGGATAAGCCTTGATCCCACTCCCAGACCAGAGCACTGGGGCTCAGTGAGGCAAGCCCCAGCCCCTGATCCCTAGCTTGGAGTGCCGGAGTGCAGATGGGAAAGCCCTGGCCCCTGTGCAATAGGGCACAACAGGGACCTCTGCAACTGGAGCGTTGGACAGGTTGGCAGGGGTGGGCCTGGGTGTAAAGTGGGTGGGACATGGCCCACTCAGGGCCACCCGAGGCTATGCCCCTGGCCTATGGAGGAGGCACCTCAGACCCTTGCAGTTGGATCTACTGATGACAGTTCTGTATAGATGTACTTCGGTCTCCTGAATGGCTGTACTAGGTGAGACCAATGGTCCCTCTAGCCCAATACGCTGTCTCTAGCAGCAAGAGTCTACAGAACATAGTGTGTGGAGCAATCCCGTGTTCTCCTGGCTTCTGACAGTCAGAGATTTAGGGCCCCCCTCAGACCATGGGTTGCGTCCCTAACATCTTGGCTAATAGGCTAGTCATTGACCGACTTTTCTCCAGGAATTTATTTAGGCCTTTTTTTAATCCCTATTATATGTTTGGCCTTCCCAATATACCCTAACAATAGGTTAACTGTGCATTATATGAAAAAGTATTTCTTGTGTGTATTAGACCTATTAAGCCTATTCCTTTCCTCACACCTATTACACCTATTTGATCCCTGGCTTTTGCATTGTGGGAAAGGGTAAATAACTTTCTTATTCATTGTTTTCACATCATTCATGATTTTATAGATCTCTATCATCCCTACTTAATCATCTCTTTTTTAAAAACTCAGCAGTCGTAATCTTTAGTCTCTCCTGGCATGGACGTCTTTCTGTACCCGTGTTCACCTTTGTGCTCTTCTCTGAACTTTTTTCAGTTGCACTATAAATGATTTTGAGATGGGGCAATTAAACCTGGACACAGTATTAAATGTGATGGAGCACGGATTTGTATAGTGGCATTGTGGTATTTTCTATTCTATGTTTTTATCCCTTTTCTGGCATTTCCTAACGTTCTGTTCATCGTTTTGACTGCTGCTGTACATTGAGTTGAACACAAGAACGGCCACACTAGGTCAGACTAAAGGCTCATCTCGCCCAGCAGTGCAGATGCCCCAGAAGGAGTGAACAGCACAGGGAATCACCACGTGACCCTTCTCGTGCCATGCATTTTCAGCCAATGACAAACAGAAGCGAGGGACAGCCAGCATTCCTACACACCCTGGCTAATAGGCATTGATGGACCTATCCTCCCTGAATGTATCTACCGTAAACTCTCGAGTATAATGCGCACCTGCCTTTTAACGTCCGAATTCTGGAATAAACTGAGCTCTTATCGATAATGCACCCCCATTGCACTCGCGATTTTACAGTCCCGCTCGCACCTGCAGGCTCGCCCTGGAAAAGCGCCCGCAGCACGAAACCTGCTCCCTGCCCAGCTGCTCGTGCACCGGGCTGAGCTCACGCCTGCTGCGGGGTCCCTCCCTCCCCTCCCTGTCTGGAAGCCTGGCTGAGCTCGCGCCTGCCGTGGGGGCCCCCTGCCCAGCTGAGCTTGCACCTGCCCTGGGGCCCCCTGCCCAGCTGAGCTTGCGCCTGCCGCGGGGGCCCGCTGCCCAGCTGCCCATGCACCACACTGACACTGGGGAGGCAGCGAGCCAGGGCACTGCAGTCTGGTGGCGCCGCTGGCTCCTCGCCTTGTCCAGTAGCCTGGTGGGGTGCTGTGCTGCAGCTGGAAAGTTTCTGTGCAGAGGGTAGGTGGAGTTAAAAACTTTAACAGAAAATCTCTTATGTATAATGCGCACACCGGCTTTGACCCTAAAAAAGGGGGAAAAAAAGTGCGCATTATATTCGAGATTTTACGGTAGGCACGTCGAAATTGCTAATGAAGCAGGGATTTAAATATCCCATGCTTCATTTGCATAAACATGGTCGCCACTTTTTTTCGAAATGGAGCTTTTAGGAAAAAAAATCCCCGGCAGTCTAGACGGGGATCTGTCGAAAAATAAACCCATTTTCGACAGATCCTGTAAGCCTCATTTTTTGAGGAATACAGGATCTGTCGAAAAAGGGTTTATTTTTCAACAGAGCCCCATCTAGACTGCCAATTTATTTTTCGAAAAAGCTCCGTGTCGAAAAAGAGTGTTGGCCATGTTTATGCTAATGAAGTGTGGGATATTTAAATCCCTGCTTCATTAGCAATTTCGACGTGCCTAATCCACATCTTTCTGTTGATGGAGAGGTGAAGTCTAGACATAACCTCAGAGTGATTCAGGACAGATCTACACTAAAGGGGAAGGTCGAATCAAGATACGCCTCTCCAGCTACATTAATTACATAACTGGAGTTGACAAACCTTGTTTCGAGTTTCCCCGCTGTCCCCACAGCAGGAAGCAGGAGTACTGGCAGCCAGCAGGGGCACCCTCTGTGTTTGATTTAGTGGATCTTAACTAGACCCTCTAAATCGAATGTGAGACGCTCAACTGTAGGAGTGTCAATCTTCCTTTTAGTGAAGACATGACCTTAGTTATACTAAACTTAACTCCCCAGCCCATGTAGATGGTGCTGTGATTTTTTGGTTTCCCTGGAATGCCAATTAAGGTTCTTTAGATACCACTGAGCCTATCTTCAGTCACCCTGGGTCCCCTTTTACTTGGTCTTGCTGAGCCAGGCCCTCAAGCCTCCTCCAGCCACAGCCAACTGCTCATACAGACATTAGTTTTGGAAGGACTCCGTTTAAAGGATTTATTACAGCACACAGAATTTCACACACTCCCAGGGTGAACAAACCCAAAGTTATTTGAATTTTGCATCCTTCCTCAGTGTTAGGGAAGGTACGCACAGTTTCTCAACTCCTCTCCCCCCCATTAGAAATTATGTAAACTGGGTTATATTCTAAATCAGAAGTGAGTTATTAATTATGAAAAGATGCATTTCAAGTGGTCAAAGAGATAGTAGACTGATCAAAGCAGATTGCTAAGAAAATAATACAAAGCATGCAAACTAAGCTAGATTTACTAAAAATGAATTGATCACAAGCTAGGTGACTATTGGCCTGTATCCAGTAGTGCTCTCCCCCACCACTTCAGTTACAATCCTTTTGTTTCCAGGTGTTTTCCAAAGTATTTCTTTGGCATTGGGAAGCAGAGGTAAAGCAAGCAGATAATTATCATTGTTTTCCTCCCCCACCTTATACAGAATTTCTATAAGGCTGGAAACTTTTGATTTCCCCCACCACTCTGTGGTTCATCAGACCAAGGAGTTGGTTAGTATTAGGTGATCAGGTCACCTGATTCCATTGTCCATGAGTCAGTAGCAGGGTGGAGGGAACACAGGAAGGCCAAGCCTAGTCAGAATCTATCATTTCAGTTGATACCCAAAGTGTCAGCAGTAGGAGCAACTCAATATGAAATACAATATACAGGTCAATATTCCTAACTTCAAATACAAAAATGACACATGCCTACAAATGGGATAATCATATTCAGCAAATCATAACCTTTCAAATGATATGTTACATGAATTATCTTGCATAAAGCATATCTCGGTTATGTCATAGTCACGTTATTAGCACATTTTCATAGAGCATATGGAATGCCAAGTCAGACGTGCTATATTGGTGGGAGAGTTTTTCTTACTAAGCTACCAACTCTTGAAGAGGTGGGGTTATAAAGCCATCAGGAGAGCTTTCTTCCATCAGTCCTTAAAAACCGGGGAAGAAAGTGCGCATTATACTCGAGATTTTTACGGTAGTTCTTTTTTGACCCCTGTTAAAATCCTGGTCTTCACAACATCCTCTGTCAAGGAGTTCCACATGTTGACTGTGCGCTGCATGAAGAAAACTTTCTTCTGTTTGTTCTAAACCCGCTACCTATTAATTCCATTTGGTGACCCCTAATTCTTGTTATGGGGAAAAGTAAATAACTTTTCCTTATTCCCATTTTCCACACCAGTCAGGGTTTTATAGATCTCTATCATATCCCCACTTAATCTCTTTTCTAAGATGAAGAGTCCCAGTCTTTTAATCTCTCTTTATATGGCAGCCATTCCAAACCCCTAATAATTTGTGTTGCCCTTTCCTGAACTTTTTCTAAAATCAATATATCTTCTTTGACATGAGGCGACCACATCTGTATGCTGTATTCAAAATGTGGACACACCATGATCTTATGTAGAAGCAATAAGATATTTTCTGTCTTACTCTCTATTCCCTTTTTAATGATCCCTAGCATTCTCTTTGCTTTTTTGACTTCTGCTGCACATTGAGTGGATGTTTTCAGAGAACTATTCACAATGTTTCCAAGATCTTTCTTGAATGGTAAGAGCTAATTTAGATCCCCCTATTTTATATGGAATTATGTTTTCCAATGTAAAATAATGCATGTTTTTCAACATTGAATTTCATCTGCCATTTAATTGCCTACTCACCCAATTTTGCAAGATCCTTTTGTAGCTTTGTGCAGGCAGTTTTGGATTTAATTATCTTGAAGAATTTTGTATCATCCGCAACCTTTTCCGGCTCACCCCCTTGATCCTTAGAAGACCCTTCTATTTACCTTTCTCCATTGTGAAAATGGATAATTTATTTCTACCCTGTGCATTTTAATCAGTTATTGATATGAAATGTAGCCGTGTTAGTCTGGGGTAGCTGAAACAAAAGACAGGACTATGTAGCACTTTAAAGACTAACAAGATGGTTTATTAGGTGATGAGCTTTTGTGGGCTCATCTGATCTGAGGAAGTGGGTCTGGCCCATGAAAGCTCATCACCTAATAAACCATCTTGTTAGTCTTTAAAGTGCTGCATCGTTCTGTCTTTTGTTTCTGATATGAAAGAGGATTGTCCCTTCACGGGAGCCAACAGCCTTGCCATGCCCCTGGGAAGTTGGAGTGGGACCCAGTAGAAGGGGTGGGGCCTTGGATGGAAGGGGTGGAGCTGGGGATAGCCAGCCCTCCACACTGCCCAGAGCACATCACGCCCCCTCCCGCCATTCAGCCCTTCACACTGTCCAGATCACACTGCCTGGTTCTAGTATCAATGTAAAGGACCCAGGACTGCAATAGCAGAGCCCTGGAGCAGCTGTCCCCTTCCCTCTCCACCCCCCGCCCGTGTTGGCGGGCCTGTGCCTCTCTTAGCCCATGAACACTGAGCTTCCTTAAGAGTCTTTGCTGAGGAACCTTGTCAAAGGCATTCTGAAAATCCCAAGTACACTGTATTGACTGGCCCACCCTTCTCCATGGTGTGCTTGCTGGCACCCACAAGGAATTCTAATATGTCCCTACTGGGGGAAGCAAGGCATCCCAACAGACTGCAGAAACTATGAGCAAAATCTTGCCCACCTTTTCTTGTGTAGGTACAAGGGGAAGAAGAGGGAGGCCATAGAGCAGTGGTTCTCAAAGTCTGGTCTATGGACCACTAATGGTCCATGATCATCCTGCAAGTGGGCTGCAGGCTTGGGGCTCCCTGCTTTCCCTTCAGTGAGGAGCCTGTGTTGGCATTCCAGCCCTGTGCCCTACCTTGCAAGATTGGAGCACCAGCACCAGCTTCCTGGTGGTGCGAGGTGGGGGAGCCTTGTCTGCTGGATCCAGCTTGTGGAGGAAGGAAGCGGCTCTGTGCGCTGCCACTCCTCCTCCCCCCAGCTGGGGGAACAGCAACTCAGGAAACGGCTTTCCTGGAGGCTTTCCACTCTGCACCCATTGGCTGGAATCAGACACTGGGAGCAGCAGGGGGGAAGCGCCTGGAAGTGGTGGGTGGCACAGAGCCAGGTAAGCAACCCCCATCTTCCTTATGCACCCCCTCCGGCTGAGGCCCCCTGACCCCAGCCCACTCCTGCACCCAACCTCCCACCCAGACCTCCCCCACCTTCAGCCTGTTCCTGCACCCAACTTCCTGGCCAGGCCCCCATCCCCAGCCCGCACCCCACGCTCCCACCCCCTCCTGCACCCATTTTATCATCCTGGATGGTTAGCTGGTGGTTTGAGGAAAGCTCTGTGTTGAGCCAGGGTGGGGGTGGGGTGGTCCACAGATCACAAAGTTTGAGAACCATGGCAAGAGGGTTCAGATGTCACATTACATATGAAGCAGGGTAATCCCAACAGCACCTGGTGCACGATCCTCTCACTTTTGCCCCGTTTCTGCCTAGGGCACATGAGAAGAACAGCGTGGGGTTAGCAATAGGGGTGTAGTTGGATGCAGCTACATTTGGTGAATCAAGGCTCCTATCTATACCTGTGTCTCAGATGGTAGCTCTTTGGCCCGCTCCTCTTCTATGCGCTGATCCTGCTTCACTTTCTCAGCTGAGCAAGAGATGCACCTCCATGTTCCACTGGCCAGAGTCAGATGGCAGAAAAATAGCCATGTCAATGTTTAGGGGGAACAGAGAAACGAGGAAGCAAAGCCAGCCTGTGTTTACCACAATGGTGCTTTCTTTTAGTTCCAAGGGATTTGGAGACTGAACTCATTGGTCACAGTTGTGTAAGGCAACAGTACTGTCTAGTGGCCAGTTCTGTGAACAGCAATGCATTACAATGAAGCTATGTTGATTTTACAACCTGCTAAGAACCTGCCCAAGGTGTAGTCCTCACACACCCCTGCTAGGGATGTAAGAGCTGAATCGGTTAACCGGTTAACCTATAAACTTACACTTAGCCACTGCAGCCCCAGTGCCCTGTGGAGCCAGGAGCCCCAGCAGCTCCGCAATTAACTGTGTAGCCAATAGGAATTTCTGTTGGTTACGTAGTTAATATTTTTTTCCATTTCTCACATCCCTAGTCCCTGCCTGTGTAGGAAGACTGATGCCTTCCTGAATTTAGGACAATAAGATTTTGTTTTTATTTTAAATCTGAGTAAGAAAATCCAGCAAAATAATATACAATTATTTTAGCTTTTTTATCCCTAAACTGAAAATCCTTCACTTTCTCCCCATTGCTGGACCAGAGCAAGCTGACGGGCTGATAGAGCAGTGAATACTTGCTGAGGGGATTCCTGGGAATTCTTGTTATTACCTTGGAATTTCTGTCAGTGGGGGCACGAGACAGGCCAGGTGGAAAGCTTTGGGGCAGCCGTCGCAGCAGATTAGCTCCCCTCCATCCCTGCACATTGCGCATTCATCATCGTTCTTCTGACCCAGGGAGGCAAACAGCACATGATGTAACAGAAGGTCAAAGCACAGAGAACAGACTCAGTGCCAACTTACTACTATGGTGATCCGTAACACTAGCTCAGGGGTTCTCAAACTGTGGGTCAGGACCCCAAAATGAATTGTTGACCCTGTTTTAATTGGGTCACCAAGGCTGGCTTTGCCTTGCTAGGACCCAGGGCTAAATCTTAAGCCTCAGTCCCATTTCTCAGGGCAGAAACCCTTGGGCTTCATCCCTGGAAAGTGGGGCTGGGGCTGAAGCCCTTGAACTTTGGCCTTGCCGTGCTCTTCCCCATCAGTGGCATTCAGGCTCATGTGTCAGTCCCCCTTCCTGGGTCATCTATTAATTTTTGTTCTCAAAAGAGGGTTGCAGTGAAGTTTGAGACTCCCTGTACAAGCTCAGTGCAATTCATTATACAGCAGGACAAACTGAACTTGGTCATAAGAACAGCCATACTGGGTCAGACCAAAGGTCCCTCTGGCCCAGTATCCTGTCCTGACAGTGGCCAATGCCAGATGACCCAGAGGGAATGAATAGAACAGGGAATCAGCAAGTGATCCCTCTCCTGTCGCCCATTCCCAGCTTCTGGCAGACAAGAGGCTAGGGACACCATTCCTGCCTATCCTGGCTAATAATAGCTACTGATGAACCTGTCCTCCATGAATATATCGAGCTCTTTTTTGAACCCTGTTAAAGTCCTGGTCTTCACCACCTCTTCTGGCAAGGAGTTCCACAGGTTAACTGTGTGTAGTAGAAATAAATATTTCTTTTTGATTGTTTAAAACCTGCTGCCTATTAATTTCATTTGGTGACCACTAGCTCTTATGTTATGAGAACAAGTAAATAAATTTTCCTTATTTTCTCCACACCACTCACGATTTTATTGACCTCTTTCATATTCTCCCTTAATCTCTTTTCTAAAATGAAAATTCCCAATCCTATTAATCTCTGCTCATATGGAAACTGATCCATACCCCTAATCATTTTTATTTCTGTTCCTTTTCCAATTCCCACATAATCTTTCATGAGATGATGCAAACATGTCTGCACACAGTATTCAAGATGTGGGTGTAGCATGGATTTATATAGAGGCAATAAGACATTCTCTGTTTTAGTCTCTATCCCTTTCATAAAGATTCCCAACATTCTGTTTGATTTTTTTAACCGCTACTACACACTGAGTGGATGTTTTCAGAGAACTATCTACAATGATTCCAAGATCTCTCTCTTGAATAGCTAATTTAAACCCCATAATCTCGATCTGTTGAAAAAGGTTATGTTCTAACACAGATAACTAATTAGTGAACCCTTGCTTTCAGATATCACAAAACTAATAGCTGGAGCAAAACATTAGCATCCTGGACTTCAGAAGATGCCTCTTGTTTCTCCCTCCATGACGGCTGTACAGTAAACAGAGGAGAGCAACTGAGGGAGGTCACTGCACATGTTACAGCTGGCTGCAGCTATACCATCATAACACAAGCCTGCATTACTTCTGTAGTCCCCAGAACTGTCTATGGTAGTTTGGAGAAATTATAGCTGGTGGGTGCTTCCTCTCTGGGGGTCTGGCAGGGAGTTAAAGTACAGAGCCCTACAGGAGCAGTGAATGCTTCATCCTTAATTCCAAGTTTGAGAATCCCAAATTCAACAGACACTTGTCTCCATGGATCATATAGAATACATCTGATAGCCTGCTGCAGGGAAGCAGTGTTGGGTATGTGTGTGAGAACACAACAGCCCTCTGAAACCCTTTCCTACTGCATGCTGTGGTGCCCACACAGACTGTCAGTTAAGCAGGGTGCTCTTAGGCCGGGCAGTGAATGAAAATGGTGGCTGTTTTTGTTTGGAATCTTCTGGGGAATTCCAGCTTGCCAGAGGAAGGGTTTTTTCACAAGCAAATGTTTATCCTGAATAATCCCTTGTTCCTCTTCCTCTCTGTAGCAATGCAGGCATCAGACTGAGAAAACCAGACTTCCAAGAGCCATACAGTAAATCCATGCACTGCCCTGAGGCTCATTAGGAGACTCTGATTCTCACTGGGACAAGGTGGTGTATGCAGCAATGAGACATGTTGCCTTTCAGGAGAATCAATGAAAATGGGTGTGGGCCCTACACAACATTTGGAAAACTCACCCTGGAGGAGAAGAGAGTGCCACTGGGCAGAAACACACTTCCTGCTCCTGGCAGAGGGGAGGAGAAGCTGGGCTCCTCAGCAGGGTCATTACCTGGTTTAGGGTTTGATCCACGCTGTGCATAGGGGTGACATGGAACCTGCTCTGTGAATTTATTTTCAGCTCCCCATTCTGCAGCGAGAGAGAAACAGGAAAGAATAAAGGAGTTAGGCAGGAAATGCTGCTGTGATCAGACTGTCTGTATAGATGCACGTTCCATAGATGCGTGTCCTGTCTCAGAAGGATGCTAGGTTTAGGTGCTAGAGCAATCTGTGTCCCCTTGCAATGGGACCTGACTTATGCCAATGGCCACGAAAGCCATGGTGCTGCGGACGGAACACTGCTCTGACTGAGCTGGTTCAGAGACCAAGGAACAGTTAGAAAACCCCACACCCCTTTCACATTCAGCATGAGAGAAACCTGCTTTGGGCTTCCTAGGCCAGGCACAAACCTGCTTGCTAGTTTATGAAGAAAGAGGACAAGTCTGGGTGAGCTGTATGGATGGAATCAATGCAGAGTGTGAACACCCTCATTGCAGAGGGGACTCAAAGAGGACAAAGAGGCAAAACAACTCATATTTGCTGAGAGCATACACATTGGGGCCCTTGCAATCCCTTGGTTCGCACACTGGGCTTCTGGCTTCGGCTTTTGTTCTTTCCCCCAGGATCCTCAAACTTGCTTGATGCATAAAACTCGCCTCCAAGTTTGACACCTTTCTTGGAGCCCCCTGAAAGAGAAGACACTCTGGCTGATGTAAATTGTTTGCTGTGAGCACACACACGTGCTGCTCACACTATGATGCCACTCCTGGGAAGGTTTCATTGTTTACTTAGTAAGGATACAGGGGTTCAGGAAGAACTGGGGCAAAAGTATTACCTTTTAGAACATGTTTGAAAACCATTTTCTGCATTTCCCTCCCTGGTCCCAATTCAGGAGGCAGAACAGCCCCGGTCCTGCTGCTTGCCACATTGCAACAAAAATAACTCTTGTGCACCATGGCAGGATGTTACCTATGGGTGTGTCTAGACTACAGGTTTTTTTCAGAAAGTCGCCTTTTTTCGAAAAAACGTCCTCTGCGTCTAGACTGCTGCGGCATTCTTTCGAAAGTAAATCGAAAGAACACGGCAGTTTTTTCGACCACGGAAAACCTCATTCTATGAGGAATAACGCCTTTTTCCAAAAGTGCTCTTTGGCAAAGGTGCTATGTAATGCAAGCTGTGCTTTTTCAGAAGAGCATCCAGACTCTTGAAAGAGGCCTGTAGTCTAGACACAGCCCACATGTACATGTCACAACTAGTGCTGCTTGCAAGCTGAGGTGCCCTTTGCCCTTCTTACAGACAGCAGCTATTGGCTGTGGAAGGGCTGCATTTGTTTATATTCTGCCAGTGACTTAACAAAAATTAAGACCATCTCTATTAGGAGGAGGGGTTCCAGTCCAGGGTCTCAGACCATAGGTGCTGGAACTAGGGGTTGGGGGATGCTGCAGTACCCTCTGTATTGCAGTGGTTTCCATTATATCCAGGGATTATAATTTGGTTCTATAGCTCTCAGCATCCCCACTGCACAAATTGTTCCAGCATCCTTGTTACAGACAGTACTTCTATACTTTCCACCTGAATTGGGACTCCGATGCGGGGGTTCCCTTTCCCTAACATCCCAGATATTCTCCAAATGCTAACTATCTAATTCTCTGACCTTCTCTTCTCACTTTTCAGTGTGTATGCTACTTCCAGGACCCTCTGGCTGGTCTAATCTGCTAACCCCGTCCTCCCCTGCAGGCCCCAGCATCCTCCCTATTTTCCCTCTGTGAACATGCATTGAAAACTTGCCCTACCTACAGTTGCCTGGGAGGCTTCTAGATTCAAGACAGAGGGCCCTTTTACTCTGATTAACCTGAAGAATACCTGTCCCCTGGAAAGGTTTCTGGGGCTGTCTTCGGGCAGGGAGAAAACCTGCAATGGAATTGGCCCACATCATTGTTATGAGCACTGTTCTTGAGCTCCCTAGATACTCATAGGCACTACCAGCCCTGAGTTCATGAATCCTGGCAGAACAGTAGCATATCTACCTGACTCAAAAACCTGTTTGATGAGAATTCCTTCAACAGCCCCGCAGCTCACTGGTAGATCCCTGGATGACACAGTGACAGCTCTCTGGACTGAAGCAGCCATAGTCTGAGTGCCTGTGGGTTTAAAAACAATCGTTCTCTATCCCAGTGGTGCACAACCCATGGGTCGTGACCCCCAAGGGGGTTGTGGATCTCTTCGTGGGAGGTCACGGTGCTTAGATCCGGCCGGCCGGGGGCTGGGCTCAGCAGCTGGCAGCTCCCACAGTGTGGCACCTAGATCTGGCTGGCTGGGGGCTGGGGGCTGGGCCCAGCAGTTTGGGGCCCCCATGGCATGGGGGTCACAGATCAAGAAAGGTTGCGCACCACCGCTCTATCCAACAAAAGGCCTTTGTGCATGCATTCACCCAAAGGAAGGGGGAGGGCTAAGGTTTGACGTGTGTTAAAAACTGGCAAGAAACACTGAACACAACTTGATCACCCCAAGTCAAGGGTTCTGCCAACCCTGACTGACATTTCCTGGCAAGGTCTGTCCCAGTCTCCACTAAATCACAAGCCCTGGCTGCCTTGTCCCACGCCTGGCAGGGCAGGAGGAGGCAGATTTGTTTTCCCCATCTGCTGAGATCAGCCTCTGGCGAGGTGGGTTTAACAGGGTTTGTTTTCACATGAAAGTACATTGTGGGCTTGGTCTAGTCTCCAGTAAATCACTGGCCATATTGCCTCATAGAGCATGACTGAAGGTTTTTACATCACGGCCAAGCCCTGCTCTGGAGTAGGGGTACCCAAAGCTGGGAGTGAGATGGGTTGGAAAGGTTATGCAACTGATGTCTGCCTTGGTTTGTTTTAAGCCATTGCTGCTAGTCCTCTGGCTTCATAAACACTAAGGGCGTGTCTGGACTACAGGGGTTTTTTTTAGAAAAAAGTGGCCTTTTTTCGAAAAAACTTCTCTGCATCTAGACTGCTGCCACATTCTTTCGAAAGTAAATTGAAAGAACGCAGCAGTTTTTTCGACCGCGGAAAACCTCATTTTACGAGGAATAATGCCTTTTTTCGAAAGTACTCTTTCGATAAAAGGCACCATGTAATGCAAACTATGCTTTTTCGAAAGAGACCATCCAGACCGCCTGGGGGCTTGTAGTCTAGATGCTCTTTCGAAAAAGCCTCTTTCAAAAGAGGCTCGCAGTCTAGACGTAGCCTGAGACTCCTCCCTTCACCCGCTGAACTCCTGTTCTCTCTGTCTCCTTATGAAAGCCATCTCATCGTTTGAGGTACCTGTGTGGTGCTGCATTTGCCACTTTTTCTGGGAGGTGCAGTTTCTCTGAGACATTTTACATAAGTTAATGCTGCGTCTGCGAGATGCCAACCCAGTAGCAACCACAGAGGTCATTGCTCTGCAGGATGGTGGATTCTCTTCCCAGGCTGAAGGACGCCCACTGACTCTGTTCAGGAATGGTTTTAGCCTATTCATTGGGCTGATGACAAAGATCTCCAAACATGGCTTGAGGAATGAGGGTAACCTCACTGATGGGGTAAGACATCACTCACCATTGCCCACAGGGAAATGCTGTATCTCCACACCTTCAGGTTTCTTTACAGCTTTTGCTTTCAGCATGGTCCCTGTGAGGTTACAATATGGGTTAGGGATAAGGATACATTTTAGATATTAGTAGATAGGCCCCCTGATGAGACAATGGAGACCTTACAAAAAACTGTGTAGTCAGGGATAGTGAATGCTCCAACATGAGCAACTAGATCTGGCTATTAAGGTGATCAGATTTTACCCGCTGCAGGGTAAGAGAAACTACATCAGATATTATTGGAAGTGGTTCTTCTTGCATATGCAGTTGTGGTGCACACCTTTGCGGCACGAGGATCTGCTGAAGTCCAAAGGCCATAGATAAAGGACAAGGTATTTTATGTATTTATATGAACTTTAAAGAGATTCATAGATTCCAAGGCCACAAGGGACCACTGTGATCATCCAGTCTCATCTCCTATGTGTAAAACAAGCCAGTGATGTACCCTCAAAGTTAGTCCTCCTTTTAGAAAAACAGCCAATGTGAATTTTCTGACATTCTCTTCATACATCTACCACATTTTCCTCCTCCTCTTTCTCTCTATTTCATATTCTCTCCTTTCAACATTCTTTTCTCTTCTCTGTCTCCATTCTTAAACATCTCCATCTTCATTCTTTTTTCCTCAGTCTTCTTCCTGTCTTTCCATCCCTCCTTCCTGTGACCTTGATTCTCCTCTATTCTTTCCATTTCCTTCTTTGTTTCTGCATTCTCCATCCCATCCTTCCTTACTCCCCCTGCCAGCCCTCCCAAACTGGCATCATTCTGCAAGGCCTGGCCCAGTCTCTGCCTGATTATAAGCCCCTGGTTATAAGACTTTGATTGGTCCCTTGCTTGGCTGCTTAGCAGAATCTAGACCTGTGGTCTCCAACCTTTTTAAGCACAAGAACACTTTCTGAATTTAAGGGTATGTCTACACTACCACTCTAGTTCGAACTAAGGTGGTAATGTAGGCAACCGGAGTTGCAAATGAAGCCCGGGATTTGAATTTCCTGGGCTTCATTTGCATAAAGCCAGGCGCCACCATTTTTAAATGTCCGCTAGTGCGGACTCCATGCCGCGCAGCTACACGCAGCACGGACTAGGTAGTTCGGACTAGGCTTCCTAGTCCGAAGTACCGTTACTCCTCATAACAATAGTTCGGAAGCCTAGCAGACATTTAAAAATGGTGGCGTCCAGCTTTATGCAAATGAAGCCCGGGAAATTCAAATCCCGGGCTTCATTTGCAACTCCGGTTGCCTACATTACCACCCTAGTTCGAACTAGGGTGGTAGTGTAGACATACCCTAAGTCAGTCCAGGGTCTATCTCAAACCCAAATACCCCTGTCCTGCCCTTTGCTGAAGCCCGACCCTCCTCACTCTGTGAAGACAGGGTACTGGGGAGGGGGACAGAGTGACATCAATGCCCCCCTGCCTCTGTCTGCCCCACTCTTCACAACAAGCAGGAGGCTCCCAGCGGGCAGCTCTGAGACTCTGGGCAGGAGCAGCAGGGCAGTGGGGAGAGGGACAGCTGAAGTGCAGGCATTTGATAGCCCCCCAGCCAAACCAGTCAGGATCACCTGTCAAGAGGCTCCAGGCTCTACCAGTAAATCCCAGTCTACTGGTTGGTGACCACTGATCTAGACCTCTCTTCTCCACTCTAGTTAGATGGCTCGAGAGGGTGTGGGGAGTTACATGAGGCCAACAAGAAGCCAACATCGGAGTGGGGAGGTGGAAGAGCTGCTTGAAAGCCCAAAGCAGGATGATTGCTTTCGTTGACCCTAGAGTCTGAGGTAACTGTGAACATAAGAAGGGCCTGTTGAGCTATCTGCCTGATGGGGTTGGAAGGCTGCACGCCAGCACAGCATAGGGGCTAGCATGGGCCAGGCAGTGGAAGAGGTTCCATACCAGGGTTTGAGTTGCATTTCAGCAAGGGCTGAGCTAGCAGGGGCGAGTCCCTTTCCTCTGATGCTTTCCTCTTTGGCTGTTGTTTGTGCTGGACCAAGGCCTTGGGGCTAGGGGGTGGTTTCCTCCCCCGGCGCTGTCTGCTGAGATCCACATCTGGAAGTAATGACAGCAGAGAGATTAACATGCAGGGCAGGGACACTCCAAACTGCCAGGTCTTTTTCTGGGACTCAAGATGTCTTTGTGTGCCCAATGATCTGGTGCAGGTTCACCCCTTGGTGCTGATCCTTAGTAAGACAATCACTGCTTGGAGCACAGGATCTGGTCCAAGAGGTAAATATAATTGGACCATTTGGAAATAGTGACCATAATGTAATAAAATGTAACATCCCTGTGGTGGGAAAAACACCTCAGCAGCCCAGCACTGTGGTATTTAATTTCAGAAAGAGGAACTACACACAAATGAGAAGGTTAATTAAACAGAAATTAAAAGGTACAGTGACAAAAGTAAAATCTCTGAACGCTGCATGGAAACTTTTCAAAGACACCATAATAGAGGCCAAACTTAAAGGTATACCCCAAATTAAAAAACACAGTAAGAGAACCAAAAAAGTGCCACCGTGGCTTAACAGCCAAGTAATAGAAACAATTACAGATAAAAAGACATCTTTTTAAAACGGAAATCAAATCCTAGTGAGGAAAATAGAAAGGAGCATAAACTTTGTCAAAATAAGTGTAAAAATATAATAAGAAAATCCAAAAAAGATTTTGAATAACAGCTAGCCAAAAACGCAAAAAATAATTGCAAAATGTTTTTTAAGTACATCGGAAGCAGGAAGCCGGTAAACAAGCAGTGGGGTCCTTGGACGATTGAGATGCTAAAGGATTCTAAAGGAGCACTTAAAGAAAATAAAGTAATTGCAGAAAAGCTAAATGAATTCTTTGCTTCAGACTTCACGACTAAGGATATTGGGGAGATTCCCAAACGTGAGCCATTCTTTTTAGGTAACAAATCTGAGGAATTGTCCCAGATTGAGGTGTCATTAGAGGAGATTACATAAGAACATCAGAACAGCCAGACTGGGTCAGACCAAAGGTCCATCTAGCCCAATATCCTGTCTGCCCACAGTGGCCAATACCAGATGCCCCAGAGGGAGGGATCACAACACATAATCCTCATGTGATACCTTCCCTGTCTCCAACTTCCAGAGAAACAGTGGCTAGGGACACCATTCCTACCCATCCTGGCTAATAGCCATTGTTGGACCTAACCTCCATGAATCTATCTAGCACTTTTTGAACCCTGTTAGAACCCTGTTAAAGTCATAATCTTTACCACATCCTCTGGCGAGGAGTTCCACAGGTTGACTGTGCACTGAGTGAAGAAAACTTCCTTTTGTTTGTTTCAAACCTGCTGCCTATTAATTTCATTTGGTGACCCCTACTTAGACTGTGGGAATAAGTAAATAACTTTTCCTTATTCACTTTTTCCACACCAGTCAGGATTGTACAGACCTCTATCATATCCCCTCTTAGTCTTCGCTTTTCTAAGATGAAAAGTCCAAGTCTTTTTAATCTCTTTTCATATGGGACCAGTTCCAAACCTCTAATCATTTTTGTTGCCCTTTTCTGAACCTTTTCCTATACCAATATATCTTTTCTGAGATGAGGCGACCACATCTGTACACAGTATTCAAGATATGGGCATACCATGGTTTAGGTTTGGAACAAATTGATAAACTTAACAATAACAAGTCTTTGGGACCAGGTGGCATTCACCCAAGAGTTCTGAAAGAACTCAAATGTGAAATTGTGGAACTATTAACTGTGGTTGGTAACCTATCCTTTAAATCAGCTTCCGTACTTAATGACTGGAAAATAGCTAAAGTGATGCCAATATTTAAAAGGGGCTCTAGAGATGATCCGGGCAATTATAGACTAATGTCAGTATCAAGCAAATTAGTTGAAACTATTGTAAAGAATAAGATTGTTGGACACATACATGAACATAATGGCTACGTCTAGACTGGCATGACATTGGAAAAAATAATCCCAACTATGTATACAATATGATGAGGACTAATTTAGCTACAACTACTTAAGAGAGAGATCTTCGAGTCATTGTAGATAATTCTTTGAAAACATCCACTCAGTGTGCAGAAGCAAATGTTAGGAATCATTAAAAATGGGATACAGAATAAGACAGAAAATATCTTAATGCCTCTATATAAAACCATGGTACGCCCACCTCTTGAATACAGCGCACAGATGTGGTCGCCTCATCTCAAAAAAGATATATTGGCATTGGAAAAGTTTCAGAAAAGGGCAACAAAAATGATGAGGGGTTTGGAACGGGTCCCATATGAAGAGAGATTAAAAAGACTTGGACTTTTCATCTTAGAAAAGCGTGGTCTGTACAATCATGACTGGTGTAGAAAAAGTGAATAAGGAAAAATTATTTACTTATTCCCACAGTATAAGAACTAGGGGGTCACCAAATGAAATTAATAGGCAGAAGGTTTAAAACAAACAAAAGGAAGTTTTTCTTCACTCAGCGCACAGTCAACCTGTGGAACTCCTTGCCAGAGGATGTGGTAAAGACTAGGACTTTAACAGGGTTCAAAAAAGAGCTAGATAGATTCATGGAGGTTAGGTCCATCAATGGCTATTAGCCAGGATAGGTAGGAATTAGGGTTGCCAGATGGTTGAAGCAAAAATACCGACCCCCCCCCACAAGAAAAATGAGAAAAATTCTGTTGAAGGGGGAAAAAAGGGTGGGGAGACCAAAGTTGTTGAGAAAAGAAAAAAAAGGACTCCAAGGACTAATTAAGACAAAAAAAATGAAATAAAACAGTATGTCCCCTTTAAGAGTGAGTGCAGGGTTAGGAACAGCTGAGAGGTTTAGCACTAAGACCCAAGGGAAAGCATTGCTTCCCCTAGGTCTTTTGGCCAGCAGCCATGTTGTGCTGGCAGCCTTGGGGAATCAGGTAAGCATGGGTGCTGGGGTCGGGGGAGGCCAACCACTGAGTGTTTGTAGGGTTGCCAGGTGCCCAGAATTTTCGCCTCCTGGCCGGGGAAAAATTCCAAAAATACGGGACATTTTAGGTGTCCGGTATTCTCTGATTTTTTTTACCGGACTATCTGGGTGAATACCAGACACCCTTGTAGGAATGGTGTCCCTAGCCTCTGTTTGTCTGGAAATGGGTGACAGGAGAGAGATCACAAGAAGATTATCTGTTGAGTCCCCTCCCTCTGGGGCATCTGGTATTGTCACTATTAGCAGACAGGATACTGGGCTAGATGGACTTTTGATATGGCCATTTTTATGTTCTTACTACTTGTTTCCCCCTGCCCCAGCCCTTGTTCCTTCTACATATTTCTAGGGCTGATAGTTGCCATCTGTACCTTTCCTGGGGCTGGCACGGGTGGACACGAGGCAAAGGTCTTGGTTCCTAAAGAGCCGCATGATGTGCTCTTTGGGGAAGCGTGGAGCAGAGGTCTGCTAGGTAGGAAGTTGTTCTCTTTTCCGTTCTTCTGAGCACCTCCTACCTTTGGGAAAGCTGCTCCGAATAGGCTGGAGTTTGGAGTATCTCTCCAGGTTGTAATCCTTGAAGAGGACCCTCCAGAAGTCCTGGATGGAAGCTGAATCCTGGCCCAGAAGCCAGGTCAGCATGGCATGGAAGGCCTTGTGAGAGCCCTCCTGCTTCTTCAAACTCATTGTTTCCTTCAAGAACAAAAAGAGCAGCATAATCAAAGGTGCGGTTCCCAAAGGCAAATCTCCTGTTCCCAGCTGTGCTATACGCATGCTGTGCAATGCAGGCTTAGGGCAAAAAGGGAGCTATGGTACAGCATCTGGCATATCTCTCCCCCTCCCCCACATGCTGCCAGGGTGTGCATGAATGGATGCTTTAGTCAGCCATTAAAGGAAAACAGAAAGATCACAACCATGCAGTGGGGAGTTGGGGTAAGTTGTGCTATGTTTTGGGGGGAGGTAAGACCTAGGACGGAGATGACAATGAGGTTGTCACAATGTTTAACTAATAGCCTGAGACTGAGAAGTGTATTGCCTGGAGCTGACAACACAATCACATTATTACTGTAGCATAAGATGCAGGTGGTGATAAGTCATGAGGACACCAGGTGAAGCACAGAAAGAAACCAGGAGCCAATTGTAAATATAAAAACAATGGTCTTAAATTGAAGGGGCCATAAAAAGTACTTACAAAATTCCATGAGCAACCATCATATAAAATAACTATGGCCCTGCAAATCTGTGAGTATCTCCTTTATATCCATAAGTATCCGCATCTGAGGAGATGAATGTGGATCTCTGTAGCTTATTTTTGCAGATATGGATGCAGATAGAAAATTTTGTATTGGTGCAGAGCTCTCAAAATCTCTGTTCAGGGCAAAAGTGCATCTGACCAGTCCTAAATGTAATAACCAAGACCGAGCTTCTATAGCTAGAGATCAGCTTTATAGTGACTTGGCTTCACCCCTTTTGATTTAATCCAATCAGCTCCCTCTTCCTGCACAGGCTGTTTCCCCCTTTTTCTTTGTGTGTATGTCTTCCTGCCATTAAAACACTTTTCACTTTATTTATTCAAAACAAGAGAATATAGGGGCCCCTACCAAGAAACCATCCAAAACTAAACAAGCCACCAACAAGTATTTAATGTTCCCCTCTTTGGGGAGGAGAGAAGCGGCCAGACTGACTTCCTTGCCGTATCACCTGGGCAGAAAAGGGTGCTGGTAAGAATATAAATAGATGCATTTAATAGCTCCCTCTAATGATTGAAATGGAGTCCAGCAGCCACTTTCAAGAATTGTGAACTCTGCTGATTCCAGGGAAAACTCTCCCTGAGATACTGCCCCAAGGTAAGAGTCTCCAGTCTCCAACCTGAGGAGAGAGCAGCTGAAAAACAAGGTCAACTCTGCAGCATGCATCCTGCGGTTGTTTCTCCTTCTCCTTTTTAACCCTGACCCTTACATATAACTCACCATACAGTTTTACTCCCACTACAGTTCATATGTATCACTCAACAGGTCTACCTTTGAGTTTCCACACTATCTGCACTAGCTTGTGCCACTGCGATTGCCTTTGCTGGTGAGACTCCCAGCAAGCTGTGGGGCTGGGCAGGGAATCAGAGGGTCAGACACAAACCAAGAAAATACACTTGCTAGATCTGCAGTAGAATAGTTCATTTTCCGCATTCCTTTTCAAGAGTACAAACCTGGCGCTTCAGTCAAGCTTTTCAAAAGTGCCCAGTAGTTTAGGATGCTTAACTTGATGCCTAAAAGAACCTGACTTTCAGGCCGTGGGTACTCAGTGCTTTCAAAACTTCTGCCCCTTTAGGGTGATTCTCATTGGGCACCCGAAATTGCTAGCTAATTGAAAATCTTGGCTTATGCATACGCATATATGCATATACATGTGTATATAAATAGTGGTGCAAAATTACTGCACAGCCCTAAAGGAATGTAGCCATAACCCCAGAGATCTTAACATACAACACTCTCCTCCACCCTCCATCCTCAAAAATCACTGTCCTTTTTACAGCTCCCCACATATTGTAGATGCCCTTCTTTTAGCTTGACTGGTATCCATATTCAAGCTGCTGGCAGGGTTAGAACCCTCGAGGGCCAGGGAATGCAGCTCCCCCGTCATGGTGTGCAAGGCCTGTGCTTGCCTCACCTGGAACATCTCCTCTGTCACAACGTCATGATCAGCCAGTCCATGAAGCAATGGGAAAACGTCGTCCACTGCCATGGAGATCTCTGTGCGGTACAGCTTCAGCAGCTGCCGCAGACCCCCTTCTCCCCAGGGCCTGTCGGTGCTGGACATGCTGCAATGAATCCGTATTTGTGGCGGCTTCAGCTGGAGAGGAGGGTCTCCCCTATACACTAACACCACAGGGAGCAACTGGAAGTGCAGTAACTGGGGTGCCCGTGCTGTCTCTGCTCTTACGTTGTGCCCTGGTTCTGGGAAAGGCAGGGATTGAAACCAGGCAGTGTGCATCTTATCTATGACAGGACTTGCTATGTCAAGACATTTGCCAAAACTTCCCCTTTAATAGAAGCCTGTATGTCTTGTCAGGAATAGCCAACTCAGCTCTCAATCACTGGCGGAATATTGAGCGGAATCCAGGAGTCCTGTTAAGTTCAATTATCGCACTCACCCTCATATTAACATCACTTTGTATGAGTTTCTTCTCAGGTCTCGCCTCACTGACAGTTCCTCACCTGCCCCTGGGGCGAGACGCCACCAGACAGAATGCGCTATACTGGAAAGCACTGACTCTGTTCACACTGGCGAACAAGGCAGCAGGTATTCTCTGTTTTTGTGTAGATACAGGAAGGGAGTGTGCCAGACAAACATAAAGGTATTAGTAGCTAAGCATGGTGTCTGTGAAATCCATCCTTGGCCCTTTAGTATGCAACACTTCTTAGGCTCTTTATACAGTTTAATTTGTGGTTGGAGAAAAAAACAAAATCCCATTATCGAGGAATCAGTTGGGTATCAAGGATGAGCTTCTGAAGCTTGATTGGAGAAGGAAAGGTTTCTCTTATTAAACTCATTTGCCCAGTTTGATTTTATGAGAGTTTATCGGGGATTTTTTTTTCATCCCAGCTGCACTTAAACCCTACAGATTATTATAAATTGGTTCAAAACAAACTTGCTTGGTTAATTTAGCCACATATAAAAGTATGGTAAGTGCATTATCGGGTCCGCACTGCTAGCATGAAATGTTCACTCTTTGCAAACATTCTGTGCAGATTGCTGTGTGATTTAAAATTTTGCCACGGTTGATTCTTTCTAATCAGTATTCAGTAAGTAGGAATATGTCTGGCTCATTCAGCTCTGGTCACTACTGATTTCCAATTTTTGTAAGGTCTGGCTGCTGTTTATACCCGTTGAGTGGTCATATTTACAAAACGAAGACACACATTTGCAGGCTTGCTTAATTAGACTACATGTCAGCTTTTGAATAACTTTATTTATCCAGTGGCAGTACATTTTTTGGTAGTACCTGAAATTCTAACCCACTCATATTATCAGAATGGATAGGGTATTTTTCTTAGGGGCAGAATATTCAAAACTTTAAGCATCTGCCTAACTTTCCAACCAATTTGAAATCGAGTTATGCACATGTGTATATAGGGTTAGAACCTTAATTTTGAAATTATTAGTTTTTTAACATCTGTTGTTTGCACCCAACCTTCAGTTTTTGTTTTGCTAGTGAGACTCGAAACTTCAAATGTGATTATGTTCAGCCAGTGGTGAAAGTAATTTAAAATTTCTCATAGGTCCTGTCCTATTGCAACCCGGGTCCCTGCCTGCTCTTTCGATAGTTCAACACTGCTTTCCTTAGGAAATATAATTTCTTCCTACAGTGTTCATTAGTGGCAGCTAACTGCTTGCTGTAGGTAATTTTGACTCGAATATATTAATGTTGATGAGACAATTTCAGAGATTGCAGCTCATGCAAGGGAAAAGTAACCCAGATCTTTATATAGCAGTGATGCTCACAATGCGTCTCTTTGTTCTTGTGATTAACTAATAGTCACCTAAAAATTTATGGACTTTCCAGGGCACCTGATTATTTCATCTAGAAACTCTCCTGTGTAATTTTATCACTAGCAAATATCTCTTAGTGTTTGCTCCTGCTCTCAGTGAGGTAATTGGAGTTTTGCCAGTGACCTCAGTGAAGACTGGTCAGTCCTGTAATAGAGCTAGTTCTCTGTACACCCTACACTCTAATCCTGAGGTGATGGTAGAGAAATTCAGCCCTGAGTTGAAAATCTTAGCAGCCCATATTTGCTGAAATAAACTGTTAAAATGAGAGCAGTAGACTGACAATCTCAAGTAGCAACACAGTCTGGGATGAAAAAAAAAACATTGCTTACTTCAGTGCTCGGGACTATACCCCCATGTAAGTTGTAGAAAGCAGAGCAGTTCAGGGCTTAATTCCGTCACTTGTTTATAACTTCTCTTGCCCCTTTAACACTTGAAATCTGTTCCCTTACCAAAGTGTTTTGCTCTTCTTTCACCCCCAGCTCTTTCTCACACTTCCTTGGTATTCTAAGGCTGCTCATTATGGACATGCAGAGTTGTTGATCTCTTCTGAGGAGCACAAAATGTTCTAGGATGCAATTCAGTAACCTAAAGTTATAAAGTAAATGATCTTGTGGCTTTAAACACAACATTTTTGTCTCCCTACCTCACATCTGCTCAAATCTCTCTGCGCCCATTCATTTTGGCTGAGGACTCAGTTGATGGTGTAAGTGTTCTCCATGCCACAAGGTTTCTGGAATAAGCTAGATCCCAGCTCCAGTCCTCTGTCAAAGGGCTTCTGGAAAAGGCCGTAGATGTTTACAGCAGCTCTCCTGATGTGTGCAATATGACAGTTGTATAGTAGCACCACTAGAGTTAAGGCTGCGCCCTGAGTTTTGTTTAAAGGTCACCCCTTCAAATTCCTCTAACATCACCGTTAGGGTTACCAGATGTTTCAAAAAAAGTCCCAGACACACTTGATCTCAGATGGGGGTGGGGACCGGCCGGGAGGGGAGTGGGGCTTGCCAGAAGGAGGTCAGGGGGAGCAGGGCTGGCCAGGGGAGATCAGGGGGTGGGGGAGAACGGGCCCTGAGTTTTGTTTAAAGGTCACCCCTTCAAATTCCTCTAACATCACCGTTAGGGTTACCAGATGTTTCAAAAAAAGTCCCAGACACACTTGATCTCAGATGGGGGTGGGGACCGGCCGGGAGGGGAGTGGGGCTTGCCAGAAGGAGGTCAGGGGGAGCAGGGCTGGCCAGGGGAGATCAGGGGGTGGGGGAGAACGGCT